ATCGCCAGCCATTTAAAATTAAGCGGACCGTAATCTACCAATTGATAGAGTACGGTCGGAACAGCAGCAAGTGCAGCCATCCAATAAATATCCGTGCGTGTCCAGCGCACAAATTCACTTAACGAGTACTTCCTTCCGGAATGCATATACGATTTACGTTTTTTGATTTTCGCAGCAACAGGCCTGCAAGATACCGATCCAGCCAGCCAACTTATCTCTTCCAATTAAAGATACAACACCGGCAATAAACATCAGTTTAGCTCATTTATTAAGCCCTAAAAATGTCTTCAATACAACGCATCAATGAAGGTAAAAACAACGCCGGATTTGCAATCCGGCGTAAACTGGGCTGGAATTTGCAATTCCAATAAACCCACATTTATAACAATAGCGCGTACTTATATGCAAATGCACCGCTAAAAAATAATGCTCATTCGTTTTATGGCGAATGAGCATTATAACTATCAAAAGAAGATCAATTAACCATCTTATCAGACAGCCATTGCGTCTTTATCATTTAAAGATTAATCGGGCTTCTTACCATCCAGGAAAGTATTGATGGTTTGGATAGCTGCCTGGTTATTTTTCTGCTGGTCGTTGACACCAATGCTGTAACCGCTGTAATAAGTATCGCTGGAACCACTGTTATCCAGGTTTACATTCCGGCGCATATAAGCAGGTACATTTTCCAGATCATCACCACCATCGTTTCCCTTGATGTTGAAGCTCAGCTTGCGTAAACGCTCGGCACGTTCTTCCAGCATACGCTTTTGCTCTTCAAACCGGCGCTTCTCTTCCAGCTCTTCGTTAGACAAACGGTGATCACCATATTGGAAAGTCTGCTGTTCGTTTTCCTTCGTCTCTTCCTTAATCACTACCTGCAATGGAGCCGCTTCCTTTTCTTCAACAATATTGAATACGGAAGGTGGTGTGGCAGGCTGTTCATCGGCCTTTGCAGTGAAGCGGTCTGAGAAATTATTCTCGGCCTGCGGCAATGGCTTCAGATAGCTGAAATCATTGGTCTTTGCAGGTGTTTCATTCAGCTTTGGCATCAGTGACTCTGCATAGCTTTGTGCTGATACCGGT